CAAAACATGCATTATTGATTCGAGAAATGGCTGGGCCAGAAAAGATTCCGTGAGTCAAGATAGCATAAACTCTGGTCGCTCCAGCTGAGAGAAGTCTAGTGGAAAAAAGAGACTCGACTTGGATTAATCTTATTCACTATTATAGAATTTGAGTTAGGGAGAAAAGGTGTATTAGTCTACCATAGCAAAACTTCATAGACTGGGTGGCTTAAGCAGAAACGTAATTCTTATAGTTCTAGAGGCTGGCAAATGCAAGATCAAGGTACAGATAGGGTAGGTTTCATTCTAAAATCTCTTCTCTTGTAAGAGGCTGCCATCCTGCTGTGTGTTCACAGGATCTCTTCTGAGCGCATGCACAGAGTGCCAGAAAGCTTTCCAGTGTTCTCTTCTTGTAAGAACACTAATTCCATCATGTGGGCTCTGCACTTGAGACCTCAGCTAAACCTGAAATACCACCCAAAAGTAATCTTCAAATACCATCACATTTGGGGTTATGGTTTAACATGTGAATTTTAGGAGGACACAATTCTGTCCATATCAAGAAGAGAAATCTGCACTAAGTCACTTCTTGGCTGGACTTAATAAATCACTCAAGGGTAATCCCCTGTGCTCCTTTTCTTTTCTAGCTAGCCAAAATGGAAATATTTCCCAGCAAAATCTTGGAAGCCACATGTTAAAAGAAATAGTCACAAGTTTGAAAGAGTCTGGGTCCCAGAAAATGAGTCCAATCAGGAACACTTGCATTGGACGAGAAAGAAACTACCATATTAAGCCACTGACATTTCAGGGAGTTGATCTGTTACACAAATTAGTATCTTATAAATATAAGGATAAAGTGGATTTTATAAATGTAAACTCAAGGAGCCAAGCTAGGAATCTTTTTCATACCTATTATGTGCCAGGTACAGACACTTAGGAATTAAAAAAAAAACATTCTAAGAAATAAAATAGCCAGGCACAGTGGCACACACCTGTAATCCCTGCTACTTGGGAGGCTGAGGCAGGAGGTTTGCAAGTTCAAAGCCAACCTTAGCAACTTAGGGAGGCCTTAAACAACTTTGTGAGACCCTGTCTCAAATAAAACATAAAAAGACTGAGGATGTAGCTCAGTGGTAAAGTATCCCTGGGTTCAATCCCTAGTACCAAATAAGAAACAATGCTATTCATAGTGGTTTGAATTGTAAACACTGGAAAGCCACTTATGATTCTGCAGGAGAGAAGTGATGGACCCTGGCCATAGTTTTAGAAAGATTATCAAGTGCAGAGGTAATGTATAAGATGGACAGGGGAAGTGAGAAATTAGTGACTGGCAGCTGGGTACAGTAGTGCACACCTGTAATTCCAGTGACTCAGGAGGCTGAGGAAGGAGGATCAAGTCCAAAGTCAGCATTGACAACTAAGCAAGACCTCGCCTTAAAAAAAACAAAAAACAAAACAACAACAACCAAAAAACCCCCCAAAAACCCACCATAAAAAGGGCTAGGGATGTAGCTCAGTATTAATGCACCCCTAGGTTCAATCCCTAGCACCAAAAGAAAATAGAGTACTCAGGGAAATGAAAAGCACATTGGAAACAAATAGCTATAATGGCTGTACAACATTGTGACTGTAATTAATGCTACTGAATTGTCCACTTAAAAACAGATGAAACTGTGTACTGTTATACAGACAATGCTACAACTAAGAAAATTTGGAAAAAAAGAGTACTCAATTTTTATTATTATTCAAGCCTAGGCTTATGAAAACCTTCCAAAGCTACTTATCTTTTTCGATTCAGTTCCAAAAAGTATTGGCAGGCTGAAGGCATTCAGATGTCAGTTATTAGCTTTTTATTTTATTTTTTACTTTTTTACATTTTTGGTACTGGGGATTAAAAACCCAGGGATGCCTTTCCACTGAGCTACATCCCCATCCCTTTTTATTTTTTGGTTTGAGACAGGGTCTCACTAAGTGGCCAAGACTGGCTTTGAATTCACAATTCTCCTGCCTCAGCCTTCTGAGTTGCTGGGATTACAGAAGTACACCACCATGCCCAGCTTAGCTTTTTTACTTGTAACCACTAGCTTCCCAACTCTGTACTCACTTGTCAGCAGCATGACAAATTGTGCCACATGTGTCAGCCATGTCATCCACAAGGATAGCGACTCGATCCTTCACATCTCCCACTAGCACCATGCGGTCCACTTCATTGGCCTTCTTCCGTTCTTTGTGAATCAAGGCAAAGTCCACATTCAACCGGTCTGCAATGGAGGTCACTCTGCAAAATAGGAGATATTCAATGTTAAACACAAGTGTATAAGATTTCTAAGAAAAAAAAAAAGAAAGACTAAAAAATGAGCTGGAAGGACTGGAGGTATCGCTCAGTGGTAGGGCACTTGCCTAGACCAAGAGAAACCCTGGATTCAATCCCCATCACCACACATACAAAAAGAGAATGGGCTGATTTTCTAGGGGAGAGTAATCACTAAAACCAAACAGTTTCTAGGGCTAAAAGAAAACAACTATCATTGATGACCTCAAGACAAACTGGGTTGTATGGACTAATGCCTTTATCCCAATGGCAATTTAGGAATGTTACTCACACTTTGGTAACCATTCATTCTGGGTAAGGGAGAGACCTGGGAAGTAGTATAATGCCAAGGCACACTTAGTTAATGGATTTGTAACATTGGATTTATTAACCAATGCAGGGGTGCACAGATTGTCCCCATTTCCATTATAGAACACCAGTGCCTGTGGATGTGAGATGTGAACCTGAAGCTGGCAGGAAAGGAGCAGTGCCCAGCCTGTTCCAATGCCTGTGCCCTCGTGGCCCCCTTTGTGATGGTGGCAAAACATTCACCAATTGTCAGTGTCAACTGTACCTGGACACCAAGCTTGGGAACTTCTTTTATGAATGCTAGAAAGAAAGTTATACCAATTAACCATAAAAACTGGGCGTTTCACTGTACAGACTAAACTATCTCTAAATAAAAATACAATTGTTATTTTTTTCCTTATTACAATATAACACAAACCACAGCAGAAAGTGGGGTATTAGATAAGTCTGACTGGTGACCATATAGTTCATAAGTCACTCAAGTACAAAGCCATTTGGTGTAAATAATATTGGGCTGTCCTGGTGACATGTACATTCATGCCCCACTGTCATCTTTTCATACACAAAGCAAAGGCCTGTGCTTTGGATTATTTTATTTTTTAAGTGTAGCACTGATTATCCTATAATATTATATCCTATTTCCTTGTGACTATGGTTACATATCTAGATTTCTACTGGAAAAGGGGGAACCTGTGACCGTATAGTAAGATTTGAAGCATAACTCTAGGCAACATTTATACCTTGACCTAAACAAGACACACCCTGAGTTGTCCATTACTACTGCTTAGGCACATAACATTGGTGGTAACCAATTTACTCAGAATGATTGATTATCTGAAGCAAATTCATAACCAATTACTATAAGTGTCCCAAACCATCTATACTCATTGGCCAACATATTCATTAATCAACAAAGGAAAAGAGTTAGAAAATGTATCCTACATCTCTCATCCCTGAGAGGAGAACTCCTGTGCAGATAACAATTGCACAGTACATAGGGAGTAGACCCTATTTACTCCCCAAACCCTGTCAAAGCAAAAGGGCTAGGCCTGTGGAAAACATTCCATCATTACAAGGTGATTATGATGAAAATAATCACCAAGAGCAACAAATTATCTGCTTAAGGCAGTTTCTTGTACCCAACTTTGACAAGAAAATCCTGCTTAACTCTTTAAAATGTGATTATTTTCTAAGTCCCTTGGCAAGATGTGACCATAGTGCCTATGACAACTGCCAGTTGGGGGATTTTAATACACTCTCTCCAGTATAGCAGAGGGTAATTAATGATTGAATGGAGCTTATCAAGTCACACACCAGATGGATAACTTAACAGATGGATAACAGAACTTAAGTTCTCAGCTTATCAGTTCCACTGAAGTAACAAAATAAAGAAGCTGCTAAAAAATTGTCATTGAAGATTTTTAACCAGAGATTGAACCCAGAGGTGCTTAACCACTGAGAAACATCTGTAGCACTTTTTTACTTTTTTATTTTGAGACAGGGTCTCACTATATTTAGGGCCTAACTACGTTGTTGAGGCTGGCCTCAAATCTGAGATTCTCTTGCCTAGGCCACCTGAGCTGCTGGGATTAAAGGTGTGTACCACCATGCCTGGTGTCACTAAAGATCTGAATGGCTTTTAAAAAGTTCTGAATTAGCTTTTCCTAATCATCTGTGTTTTGGAGCTCTTCATTCTATTTCCCCATCAAGAAGAACATGTGCCATACTTCTGAATGCATTACTATAAGTAATCCACTAAGAAAAGCAAGAGCTCTTAGTCTGCACCATGTGAGCTGTAAAGCACCATAAATGGAAATCCCTGGCAATGAGTTTAAAATTCTAAAGTCCTGGCTTTAAATAAAAATGTCATACTTTATTTTCCTCCCTGCTTAATATTTTAATCCCAAGGATCAAAATGGACTAACCAACAGCATTATTAGAAGGGTGTGAAAGCTCACTTATCCACTAATATGGAGTTCAATAGCAGCTGCCAATCAACAGAAAACTAAATTTCCTACCCTTTCAGATAGGTTTTTTGCAGTGTTGTTAGCCATGCACTGCCAAGTTACTAATGTTATAGTCAAGTCCGAAATATCATAACTATTTAGGTCTCCTTTTCTGACTTGTCTTCTAAGTAGTAATTTGGGTCAATAAAAGGATAGTAAAACTATATCTAACATTAGATATTACTTAAAATTGCCATTTAGATTTTCCCAGTACATGGGGAAGAATACTAATTTCAACCATACCTCTTGGCTCCACCAGCATCAGGTGACACAATAGTGCAGTTCCTCCACTCAGAGATATTCTCCCTAATCCACTTCAGGACAGCTGGCTCTGCATACAAATTGTCCACTGGGATATCAAAAAAGCCCTGGAGAAAGAAGGCAGGTCAGTTTTGCTTCGTTTTCCTTCTCTTCCATTTGCAAATGGATAACACAAAGAAAATAATAACTTGCATAGAGAGAATGCCTTACTGCAACACTCAAACATAAAGAAAGGCATTCTCAGTGTGGTAGATTGTAAAAATTGCCTCCTCAAATCTTGGCTGAGAGAGTCCCACCAAGATCAGCCAATCCAACCCTCAGCCAACCCACAACTGAATGCAAGAACTGCAAATGAACCCTTGTGAAGAACAGCCAAGTTTAGCCAAGACCATAAGGACTGTTCAGCCATGGTATGCACTCATTAGTTTAATATGTACTACTTCATGGCACTCAGTAAACTACTTAGAGAAGTTGTGATACATAAATTTAGTGGGAACTATAATAAATGATCCTATAGGATAACTAGAAATCAGAAGATGTATGTTGATTCTAGTTGATAAAAATTAGTTGTATTTCTCAATTAAGTTGTTCCTTTTCTGTAACATGGGTACCTATGAATCTCAGCTGGTTGCCATGGGATAATGACAATGATTTGGAAGTCTCTTTAAATAGTATAAAATAAATATAGTAATCTACTTCCTTCATTCTGAGTTCCTATGAAAAGTTAGGTTCCAATATCTGTGGCTCTAAATTTAAGACTGAATCCTCAGGGAGAATAACAACAGCTTCCATTTATTGAGCACCAGTCATGGGCCAGGCATTATATTATGAAATTAATATTTATTTTATAATAATGAAAAAGTATGTTCAGAAGTAAACTGCCCAGGGTACAGAGCTAGTGATTATAAAAAAGTGCCAGTATTCAAAGTAGGTCTGATCCTAAAGCGTAGGCTATACCTATAATATCAGACTTCCTCTCTGTCTATCCACTCCAAATGGCAAAGATGGTAAAGATGATGTGCTTACAGTGAATGCATTTAAAATGTTTTCAGCATCTAGTTTACTTGAGCTATACTTGGGCAGTTTTTGGCTCTCTGCAGTGTTGAGCATTATTAATCCACTCCTTCTACCTAGAAAGGCAAGATAATTATCCCTGATAATTATTTTCCACTGATACCTGAATTTGAGAAGCATGTAGATCCATGGTGATAATATGATCTGCACCAGCTACAGACAGCATATTTGCAACAAGCTTAGCAGAGATTGGTGCCCGGCTCTAAAAGGAGGGGAAGAAAGAAAAAGAAAAACCAAAAAAGCCAATTTGAAATACAATTCATTTCAAGAAACATTTATTTATTGTGTATCTACTTTGTTTAAGTCACGGTGCTACCAGGAATTTGCTACCATTGACTTTGAGTGTATCATAGTCAAGAACAAGTGCTAAGTGAAACATCACTTCCCAACTGAGGATATACATTTCAGTAAAGAAAATAACTTCCTTGCTTCCAGGATTATCATTTCACTGGTTATACATATTTTCAGCCTGTTCAAAAGCTTCAATTTTCAAACTCAGCAAACTCAAAACATCTTTTAAAAAACAACTTTACTAAAATCTTTTTAAATACTGGGGCTGGGGTTGTGGCTCAGCAGTAGAGTGTTTGCCTAGTACTTGTGAGGCTCTGGATTCAATCCTCAGCACCACATAAAAATAAATAAAATAAAGGTATTGTGTCCAACTACAACTAAAAATAAATATTTTTTTAAAAAATCTTCTTACATACATACCCATGCCTGTGTAAACCTAAAATATCAAAGTTCAAAGATATATAACAGAATGGAAATTGTTTCCTTTGTAAATTACATCATCACTTTATTCATCTGGGGATCAGTTTTCCAGCAACCTCAACTCCATTAAGTAAAAGGTATACCTGCTACACCCTAAAGCACCTGCCCTTTACACTCTGCTGTAATAAAAATATCTGGCCTTTCTCCCAAGTTCTGTGTGTTAAAGCTGGGCATTAATTACAACATCCTTGCAAAATGTGTATACCTCATCCTCTAATAATATCAAATAAGAGAGCTATATGAGACCAGATATTCATATAAATAGGCTTCATATTTTATGAAGATGTAACAACCAAGACCCTGACTATATGACAGTCAAGAGAAATCTACTATAGTTTTTTTTGAAACAGGTTCTCACTATGTTGTCCAGGCTGCCCTTGAACTCCTGGGCTCAAAGGATCTTCCTGCTTCAGCTTCCTGAGTAGCTGGGACACAAATACACACCTTATATAGTTTAAAAATTATTCCACTCCAGCTGGGTACAGTGGCGCACACGTGTAATCCCAGGGACCTGGGAGGCTGAGACAGGGGGATCACAAGTTCTAGGGCAACCTCAGCAATGTAGTGAGGACCTAAGCAAGTTACTGAGATACTGTCTCAAAATTTTAAAAAAAATTAAAAACCTGGGCTGGGGATGTGGCTCACTGGTAAAGTGCCCTTAGATTAAAGTCCGAGTATGTATGTATTTGTGTGTGTGTGTATTCTATTCCACAGGGTTGGTAATTAGTCTGATTAATAGAATTAAAAATACCAGCAAGCTAATGGAAAAGTTACATATGCATAATTTCAATGAAATACAGAATACAAATGTGTTGGTTTACACAAAACTACTATATACCTATTGTGAAGACAGGGTAATACCTAAGGAAATGTGACTTTAAAATACCTCAGAAATATAAATATATCTGATAGTTGAGGAATTTTTTTAACTTTAGGCTATACTCCTGCTTCCCCTGCTTTAAAAAAATGACTCTGGGCTGGGGGTGTGGCTTAGTAGTAGCACGTATACCTAGCATGTACAAAGGCTCTGGTTCTATCCATAGCACCACACACACAAATAGATTCTGTTCATACCTTATCCTTCTTATCCTGCCGGGCATAAGGGAAACATGGGATGACTGCAGTAACCCGGCTGGCTGAAGCAATCTTGCAGGCATTAATCATGATCAAAAGCTCCATTAGATTGTCGTTGATTTCACCACAACCACTTTGAACGATGTAGACATCTTCTCCACGTACACTTTCACCAATTTCCACACTAAATTAGAGAAAGATAGGCAAGATAAAACAATAGATTTTTAGTTGGGCATGGTGGTGCATGCCCATAATCTCAGTGACTTGGGAGGCTGAAGAGGATGGTAAGTTCAAGGCTAGCCTCAGCAACTTAAGGAGAGCCTGTCTCAATATGAAAAATAAAAAGGTCTGAGGATGTAGCTTAGTGGGAGAGTGACCCTGGGTTCTATCACCAGTACCCCTCCTCAAGACTTTTAAGCACGATACTGTATTTGGATAGATAGTAAGGTCTTAAAAAAAAAAAAAAAAACAGCTTCCCTGATAGCATGCTATTGGTGGTTAAAGCCATGTGGATATTGATCCCCTCAGACTCTGGAAGATCCCAAGTAGGAGCTCTTACACTAGAACTGCTGTGTACTATACTGCAGTGTACTATACAAATATTACAAGTTTGTATGTGTGACATAGCATGAAAAACACTAGCTAACTTTAAAGTATTCACAAATAATTGGAAAAGTAATTTCTGGAGGTGGTCATGCAATGTAAAGACAGATTTGACATAGAACCCGTCCGTGACTGTTATATAATCCATAAAAAATGAAAGTAGAAATATCATAAGGGATGAATCACCACTGTTCTTTCTATAATGCTTTCTAGTGAAGACAGTACTGCCTCTACCATATTGGCAATTTGCTCAATAAATATTAAATGCTCATATGCTGGTCACTGTGCTAGGAGCTAGGGATACAAAGATGAATAAAGCAGATGTGGTCCTTGATCTTATTCTGTAACAACTGTACTTTTGTCCAATCAGTAAGTCTTATTTAATAACAATGCCATAGGAAGTAAGTCTAATAGTGGAGTACAACTATATTTTATCATAACAAAAATTTCAATACCCATACTTGGGTCCCTGCCAAGAAAAAAAATTATGATCTCAAAGAAAAAAATCTGGAGCTAGGGGTGTAGCTCAATGTTAGAACACTTGGCTAGCACATGCAAAGCCCTGGGTTCCATCCCCAGTGACACACACACCACCTCAATCAATCCTCAAGATAAGGTAGGGATATGTGTATATGTATAAAGAAGGGATAGATCAGAATTGTTAAAAACCCCTACTGAACAATAGAACTTCAGTTCACTCCAGGTGTGGTGGCACACGCCTTTAATTCCAGCAGCTCAGGAGGCTGAGGCAGTAAGATCACAAGTTCAAAGCTAGCCTCAGCAAAAGTGAATGCTAAAGCAACTCAGTGAGACCCTGTCTCTAAAGACAAAATAGAGCTGGGGATGTGGCTCAGTGGTCGCATGCTCCTGAGTTCAATCCTGTTCAAATTAAAAGGCAATGTAGTTATTATTAAATACAACATGCATACTTTTATATTTTTATGGCACTCCCACCACTATCTTTTGTGTGGTTTCAGAAACTGCCCACTATTATTATGCCCATCAGGATGATGTTTATCTCATGTTTACTCCCCAAATAAAACTTTAAAGGGCATCCCGAAAGAAACCTCTATCAAAATAAACAGAGATGCTGGGTGCAGGGGTGAATACCTGTAATCCCAGCTACCATGGAGGCTGAGGCAGAAGATTGCAAGTTCAAGACCAGCCTGGACAACTGAGAGAGACCCTGTCTCAAAGAAACAAACAAAAACAAACAAACAAACAAAAAAACCAAGTTTGGGAAAACTGGGTAAAGGGTATACTTTGATCTGTTTTTTTCTTAGAGGTGAATGTAAGTCTACAATTACCTCAAAATTCAATTATTTTTCAGTGCTAGGGATTGAACCCAGAGCTTCATGTGTGCTAGGCAAGTGCTCTAGGACTGAGCTACACCACCTCCCCTTCTCAAAATTCATTTTTTAAAAAAAGTGATTGTACCTTGTGCATAGTTGAGTAAACCATTACTGTAGCCCTCAATGAAAACTGAGGTCACAGAAGTGTAAAAAAACAAACACACTTCTGTGGTTAGTCAAAAGAACCAGGTCCAGTTGTATTATTTTCTGAAAAGCTATAATACTGTGAGAAAACCTGGCGAAATCCAATTTAAACAGTTAATTTGAGAAAGAACTCATCTCAAAGTATTTTCTTCCAAGCTTATCAGGGATCAGTCACATTCTCTTCCTTTATATTCCATGAAGACACCCTTTACTACTTCACAGACTGCACTTCTTTCCACTATCTGAATGCTCTTCTCAAAACCACTTCACTCATTTTTCAGGTCTCCAATCAAAATGACCTTCTTGTCAAGTATGATATCAATAGAAACAGTAAGATTTTAAATAGTGACTGGAACTGAGTACAGTGAAACACACCTGTAATTGCCACAATGTGGGAGACAGAGGCTGGAGGATACAAATTCAAAACCACCCTTGGTGACTTAGAACCTGTCTCAAAACGGGCTGGGGAATAATAATGTAGCACAGTAGTAGAGTGTCCCTGGTTCAATCCCCAGTACCAGGAAAAAAAAAAACACATTAAATGTGACTTAAATCAGTGGTAGAACACTTCCCTAGCATGTGTGAGGCACTGGGTTGGTTGATAGCATCGAATATAAACAAATAAAAGTCCATCAACAACTAATAATAAAATTATCAATTAATTGCAATATATACACCTTATTTGCAGGCCAATTCAAACTAAAACAAAAGAACATTTTTTATGAGGAAAAAAAATGAACACTGGCTACTTATTTGACAGTAAGGGATTACTATCAATTTCTTTAGGCATGATAATACTATTTTGTTTACTGAAATATATATGGATGACAATATCTATTTGCTTCAAAAATTCAATCATTAGAGCGTGGTGAGGGAAGACTAATAAGAGGAAGCAAAATTAGCCATATCTGGGCGCAGTGGTGCATGCCTATAATCCCAGTGGCTTGGGAGGCTGAGGCAGGAGAATCATGAGTTCAAAGCCAGCCTCAGCATCAGTGAGATGCTAAGCAACTCAGTGAGACCCTAAAATACAAAATAGGGCTGGGGATGTGGCTCAGTGGTTGAGTGCCACTGAGCTCAATCCCCAGTACCAAAAAAAAAAAGAATGAACAAACACCCCTCAGGATTAGGCTGCCTCTTATTCACTTTTGATTAAAAGTGAAGTGAATGCCTCCATTTACTTTTTTTTTTAAAAAATGACTGGCTTTAAAAAAAAACTTTATTTATTTATTTATTTATACGTGGGTGCTGAGGATCGAACCCAGAGCCTTGCACATGTGAGTCGAGCGTTCTACCCCTGAGCCATAACCCCAGCCCCCCTCCATTTACTTTTGAGTTGCTGGGATTACAGGCATATACCACCGTGGCATATGGGATCATGTTTCCTTAAAAGGTTTTGACAAATCCACCCATGCCCTTCTTCAGATACTCATTATTTATATAATTTGGGGGTAGAATTACAACCTGATGGTACCATCAGGATGATATAGTAACAAAGAATTTGATGACGGGTCCTTAACTAGTGATATTAAGACAAACAAAAATAGTAATTTTGTGGACCTCCATGTGGCTGACTTGACATAGTAGTGTATTTTTTTTTAAACTTATGGATACTTAATTTGATTCATAACTATTGAAATGGGTGAAGGATATGTGTAGGGTCATTATACCATTTTTCCTTCTTTATGTTTGAAACTTGTATATGAACGTTGTGACTTTCAGTAATTAAAAAAAAAAAGGATACATATCCTCTATCACCAAGATCAACCTTTAAACCAAATATTTTGGCAACATCAACTATGCCAATACCAAAATTGCTTTCTGAAAACATTCTTCAAAATCCAAATAGATCATAAAAAAAATTTAAAATGGGGGTTGGAGATGTAGCTCAGAGGTAAAGTACCCCTGTGTTCAATCCCCAGGACTAAAAAAATAAGTAAAAATAAAACAAAAAGAACTCAAGTGGATATGACTAAATAATACCTCCTGGAGATGAGAATGTTCTGTACATTTCTCACTGTGGCAGGTCCAAGTAAGAGGGAGTATTCATGTAAGGGACTTCTCAGATCTTCTTTACTACTAACACATCCCTTTGAGAGCTCTCCAGGCTAAAAGTGGCATTTCTGTTTTATGGTACACAACTGTGGTTTTAACCAAGTGTAACAGGGGTTAACTTGATGTTTTGACTCTTTCCCTTGTGGCCTTGAAACTTACATTTTTTTCTTTTTCCCATTCTTCTTTTCCCTAAACTTCTCCTCCCTGATATTATTTTTCCCTAAACTTCTTCATCCTCATCTCTCCTTCCTAAACTCATTTTCTCTGAATCACCTCTTAAAAAAAAAAAAAAAAACCTGTTCCTACTGATGGGCAGAATCAACGCCTCTGGGACAGGAGTTTCCTGTGTTTCTCCTTTGTTAGCAAAGCAATAAACCTTCTTTTTCCTTTTTCTCAAAACCATGCCCTTGTTATTGGATTGGCATGGGGACAAGGACTGAGCTTTCAGCAACACAAGTACTTTCAATAATTGAGGGACTTCAAAGCTCAGAAAATGTTAAACCTGCTCATTCCTCTTCTACCCCTAACCTCCTTGACAAAGATCCCCATTTTCCTGGGACAGAATGACAGTTGGGCACACTGATTCCCAACAAAGTCAATTTGTCCTCTATATCTGGTATCAGAGATCTATGGTTCTTTTTTTTTGGGGGGGTGGGGCTGGGGATTGAACCCAGGGCTTTACGCATGTGAGGCAAGCACTCTACCAACTATGCTATATCCCCAGCCCCCGCCCCCTGCCCCGCTTAACTATTTCTGTAGGCTTTTAAAGCTTTATTATTGTCAAGTAAAAGCAGAAAAGAACATTCTCAGACCAGGTGGCTTATCTTGCTATACAAATGCCTCAACTAAACTAGGCATGGTGGCACACACCTATAATACCAGTGACTGGGGAAACTAAGGCAGGAGGATCACAAGTTCAAGGTCAGCCTCAGCAACTCAGCAAGATCCAGTCTCAAAATTAAAAAAAAATAAAAAGGACTAGGGATGTAGCTCAGTGGTTATGTGCCCCTGGATACAATCCATAGTTTAA